AATGTCATATGTCACAGAATGTCTCGGAACTCGGAACATAAGTAAACAGAACAGCACGCCTCTGAAATATGTCATCTTTGTTTGTCTCATACAGGTAACAGATTCAATGTCCTTTATTAGCTATAACCGATGTTGCCAAATGGTGAAATAGGAACAAATCCCTTTAAATGTTGATTGCATTATTTCATTCCTCTTTTTTAGGTATTTAAATATTTTTTAAAGAAAAAGGTTGAAATGATAAGTTTAAAATGCGTTGTTTTAGAGCTATTTTATGAAAACTACTTGATTTTCGTCAGGAGGAACATTCCCCATTATAATTACAATGGCAGCAAATGGGTTCAAACCTAATTCTTCTTGCAAGTGCAATTTTAGTTGTAAATATGGTCACTTTCAGTTTTTGACAATCTCGTGGAATGTTACTAATTATTCGTATAACCTGAAATTTGAGATTACAAACGCCTAATAATCCATGTTGAGTGTGTATATTAATTTCCATTTTCTCAAATTTCAATAATTATATATTTTTATGTGTCAACAATCTATTTTGGCAAGCCTGAATAATGTTAGAACCTTTTTAACAACCAGTCTTTGACTTTGTTACTGCAACACTATAGAGAAAAAATCATCTGATGAAAATTCTCCAGTACTATAGATAGATAGATAGATNGCCTGATATGATGGTGGATCTCATTTGATCTTCGCTCATCCAGTGCTCGGATATACAGAGGAAGCTTGGGTCGTGGATGTTACAGAATAATTCTAGAATGTTAATTTTGTTTGCTAAGCTTTGACTATTCAGATGAACTAGCTTAAATTTAAGTGTGTTTCTTATCTTGTCATGGTAATCCTGGGTGAGGCTGGATTCCGAAAATTTTCGGTGGTTTGTTTGCACTGGTTCTCTCGGGGTTGGTGGCTTCGTGGATTGTCCAGAAATCGCTGCCCTAGTTTGAAGTTGAAGCGGTCGAAGTGTATGTTTTCAGGCCAGAAGTCGGATTCGTAGACTTTTTGCTGCAAGCACTGCTCGACACCTATCATAAAAGCTTGGTTGTTGATGCCAGTGAAGTGTGTTGCGAGTTTTTTCACGTGGATGTCTTGCGAGTCGGTGCGTTTTTTGATATAATTTTTGATATTGCCTTCTGTTACTACATCTGGTACTCTTGATAAAAATAGCCAAATATAATATCAGTTTTTGGCAAATAGTTCTTCTGTTATTTGTAGGAATCTGTTACTTCTGATTAACCTTATAGAAGAATATTAGACCATGGTAGTTTTCATAGTTTCTGGTTTTCATCAACTTGTGATATTGTAAAGCTAACTTATTTTTTAAGTCTTATAAGAATGTTCAGTAAATACAGTATTATTTTTGTTTATTATATCAAGACTCTTGTGGATGCACGAGGTCTCTTAAAAAAGTAAGGTGAATACTCAAATTTTGCAGGACACATACATTCGATTAGCGGTAGAGTAGTATTTGTCAGTATTTGTAGTGTTTAACAGAATGATATTTGTATTGATGATTCTACTAAATCTGCATTACTTCTCTGAACCAATCTTTCACATTCAAAATTCAGTTGAGAAGAAATTTTCAGCCAAAAAATTCTCGTATCAGTGATCAGTCTTTATTAATTTCTATGTTCACCTCATTATAAAAAAAACTGTAAATATTGACTTTCATTTTTCATCATTGCATAAATGTTACTTTTGTTGTAGTATTTGGGCTCCCTTTCAGAAGATAATTTCTTCAAAATATTCATGGAACAAGTGCCAGGAGGTTCTCTCAGTGCACTCCTCAGATCTAAATGGGGACCACTGAAGTCCAACGAACACACCATGGCCTACTACACGAAGCAAATTCTAGAAGGACTCAAGTACTTGCACGATCAAAATATCGTTCATAGGGATATAAAAGGTATTCTGAATATTAGATTCGGTTTGACTCATTTATGTTTATAAATGGAGAGTTACTTTTTATCAACCTTACTTTCGAAAATTGAGTTTTAATTTTGGAAAATGTTGTATTCAATGTTGCAATGGATACATTTGATATTTACTATTCTTAGCCCCTTTCTATTTTTTCGCAGGTGATAATGTCTTGGTAAACACTTATAGCGGCGTCGTGAAAATATCTGATTTCGGCACTTCCAAAAGGTTAGCTGGTTTGGGTCGTAGTACAGTAACGTTTACAGGAACTCTCCAATACATGGCTCCAGAGGTCATTGATAAAGGACAGCGAGGTAAGGAAAAGTAATGATGGTGGATTGAAATTTTGGTGACATGGTAAAATATTTCACCGTTTTGAATAAATTTGTCAAGACAACACTGGCAGTTTTTCATTTATTCATACTGTAGAAATGTCTGCAACATTTTTCGTTCCCCAGGTTATGGTGCTCCTGCTGATATCTGGTCTCTTGGTTGTACCGTAGTAGAGATGGCGACTGGCAAACCGCCCTTCATTGAACTCGGTTCTCCACAAGCCGCCGTATTCAAAGTAGGCTACTATAAAGCCCACCCAGAAGTTCCTAGCGAACTGTCAGACCGCGCGAGATCTTTCATCATGAGGTGCTTTGAACCGGATCCTGACAAGAGAGCAACCGCTGCCCAGTTGTTGGAAGATCCATTTTTAGGTTAGTAATTTTGATAGAGAGTTTTCAGTCAGTGAATGTTGAGTTGCAAACTTTGCTATGTGTCTTTTATTTGTAACAAAAGGTGAAACAAATTGAGAGTTACTTATTCATAGCTTTTGCCGCCCATTCTGGCTTCCGAGAATGAAAAGGGTTAGTTTTGAAAACTGCCTCTGACCTTCAAATACTTTGCAAAGTCGTTATCAAGGTCACAGATGAGTGGTCAAGGGTAAAACATCTTGTACATTCTTTTTTTCTCCATGATTTACTATATTTGACTTTCAAATTTGTTCATGGGTTCGCTTAAGAGTCACCCAAGGTTACATCGCGAAGTGATGATGCCTTACCAGGACTTTCGGATCATTCTGTACATATGGTGCTCACATCAATATTGAGTTTCTTGTGAAGTAAATTACTCAAGCAACTCTAGAGAAATAAGTCCGAGGAATAAAGTCGGTGGACCTGGAGGTTACTGAATGAAGCTATGATTCAAAATAAAAGTTATTTATTGGTAAATATAAAATATAAAAGACTTCGCCTAATTGACTTCAGTAAATCTCTTGATTATGAAATATCTTGTAAAAAATGAAGATTGAACATTGCAGATATTTCTAAGAAGTTCCATAAGACTAAAATTTCTTTTCGAACTTCGATTTGGAAACAATCACAAACCAAACACAAGAATGAACTAAGCATACCGAGACATAATTCATCATTTTTTTGAAAAAGGACCACATTACAAAGCCATAAAAGCTTATCAATCTCTCCCAAGAGAAATTAGAAATACAGAAAACCACAACAAATTCAGACTCTCAGTCATTGATTATCTAAAAACCAAAGTTATATGGCAATAAAGGATATTATTATTATTATTATCCCTGTGGAGTGAAATAAAAGCAGTTAAAATATTTATGTGAAACCATTGGAGCTCAATCTAGCTAACTTCATTGGCGGCTTTTGCAGGTCCCGAGAGAAGACAAAAGACTGTTCGGTTGAATACAGAATTCAACCGAAGCGTATCGGTGCCTGTCGAGAAGATGGGAGTGAGGCACACCGGCCACAATAGTGCTCCAAACCAAACTCCAACGACACCCGAGGCAGAGTGAGTTTTTTAGTAATACATTTTTTGCATGTTTCTTGAATTCCATCATCATGGGTTAACTTTTATCCAATGTTTTAAAACTTTTGGTGCATGTTTCTTACAAATTTTGGGATCAAGATTTATTTGCAAGTTACCAATGTCTATTATTGAACAAAGTCGTGGAATGATTTCTAATGTACTTAGGAAATATTTTTGGATTTTGTAAACGGGTGAAAATATTTACTAATCCTGATTTTTTTCCATTAGAAGATTTTAAAGAAACGAGATACATTACAGTCTTTTCAACTGAATCAAAACCAATTATTTTTGTTAATAACAGGTGAAAAAACAAGAGTTATACATTGTACCTAGCCATAATACAGAGTTCTTGCTGTATAGCAGGTTATGAAATACAATTCCTAACTACTCCTCCGACAAATGTATGTATCACCAAAAATTTTTACATGATTTATTAACGTATCATCTATTCAAATAGAACGATTTTTTTTGCATCGAAGCGTTGCTTTTTTCTACATGGTTACTGTGTAATCATCTAATTTTATTATAGTCACAAAAATTAGATAATACTTATTTTCCACCAAAAACAACACTCCTAATTTGAGACTTGACGTTAGGCTCACGCGCGGCATGTGATGAGTCTGATAATTTATGACTCGGCATTAGGCTCACGCGTAGCTTATGGTGCATCTGAACAACTTGAATCAACATGCTACTTTCATGTTCTGAAAGCTTGGACTTGCAGAAAGATGTCAAAAATGTTGTGGATCATGGAGTTATTTCTTTCACCTCTGTTCAATCACGAGTACAGTGAAATATATTTACAAAGAAAAGAATAATCATTTTTCGCATAAATCTCTTGAGGTCCATCAGCGATAGATTCGGGTACCTTTTGTTGAACTTTCTATATGACCTGCTGATAATTTTATCACACTGTCCAAAAATAATAAACAAATTCATAAGAACATCGTTTGAATAGTTTTGTTCCATAGTTTTGGAGGTATTTGAAATTTCTGAAGTGACGAAAATGTCAATATTATTGGGAGAATATCACAACGTTACTGTCAAATAATAATCATGGTCTGTTTACAAAATACTGAATAGGAATACCATTCTGAAGGGCATACCTAAAGATATTAGCATTTTTAGAGGTCATGATTTTCGAAGAAAAAAATTGAATTACTTTATATTTCGAGAACGGTAACATATAGATACAGAAAAATATCAAGAAAAATGTAATTGTTGAAGATTTCAGGGTGCTCCCTTTGAAAAATCAAAGTTGCTACTACTTTCTGATGAAAGTGGCAACACTGCATTGTCGAAAATATTTCAGTTGGTTAGAGAATGTCCGAATATATGTTCATTCAATTTTAAAAGTGATCTGTGGTCTAGTTACCAGAAACGACTAATATACCATCACCCACCGTGAATCGGCCTGTATAAAAATGAAGATTGTGCGTTTATACACGTCGGTTGTGGAAATTATGATGAATTATTTCATCTTCAATATGAATTATTTCAAATAACTTCTACAAGTTCCAACATATTTATAAAACCAAATAATTTTGTCTGTGTATTTTGACATCTAATATCTAATAATTTTTCAATGACTTTGCAATCATGTATGGAGCTTTTGAAAAACCTTTGTTTTCAAATTTTTTATTTCAATTAAACATTCAAAACTGTTTCACAAACAAAATTTCCGTTGAAATGAACGGTGAGAATATCGGACCTCTTTCACTGAAAAAATTTCTATTGTTCTGTGCCTCAGACTCTACCTAATTTGTGACACAACATCATTCTGTGCTAATATTTTCCAAAACTTGTTTTTCTGTGTCATTTTTCTGCTCTAACCAATAACAAATTAGTCCTAAGAAGATGGCGACCTGTCTGCGTGGATTCGCGACAGTAACTCTGAATTTCCAACTGGTGATTAATGTGAATTAGTAATTAAGGTCAGGTTAGGTTGAAAGGTGATGTTGGGAGAGAGAACGTTATAGAACGTCTAAATTAAAATCTAAATTTCCAAATTACATTGAAATAAAGTTCTTATAAATAGAGGCAAAGGGTTTTTAACATCATTGGTAGCATGCCAGAAAAACCACCGAACCCTATTGTTGCCGACTTTAATATCGCTTCCATAAGAAAACTGTTGAATACATAAAACTAGACTGATATAAGTGTCCACTCATATGTAGCTGAACATTGGTAGACGCATCCACTTGAATGCAGCTTCAGTGGCTGTACTCCAACAAACCCACTTTCAATTAGTACTCAGTTTTTAGTGTTTCTCATGAACGACTTCATTATACAATGATTCTTCAGAATTTGTCGGTTGATATTCACTTTAGTAACATGATTAAAATGTAATTTCATTTTCCACGCACAAAACATAACCGAATATTGTGGTCTACTCGAACTATAAAAAACGATCTCATCCCCATTTTGCATGTGTTCCAAGGTTTTTATGTTCTGTGCTATGAAAGTGACATTTACCATCCATTATTGGATTTTTTCAAATTTGCCCCGTTTTTCGTTCATCATATTCAACAGAAATTCTTCAATGTGTAAATCTCATAAAAAAAAATGAATTTGTAAACATGTAAATAAACTTCTATTCGGGCAGTACTAGTTTTGCGATCGAATTAAAAGATATTAAAAAATGATTATCCCCAATATTCTCAGTCCCGATGATATTATGATCAAATTCGTAAACAAGTGGTAATACTTTTTGGGTCTTGTATTGTTTTGGTTGAAATTTTCAGGTTTTTTTTTAGCATGTAAAAAAGTGCCGTGTGTTTGTATGTTGATTTTTGTGGCCACATAGGGTGAACAATTACAATGAGCATTAAGGTTTGCAACTATTTATTCTGATTTTTTATTGAAGTAGTGCATTAATAATTATGGATTTTTTTCAATTGATTTTGTTTGATAATATATGGTATTCTCAACTATAAAGTATTATTAAAGTGAAGGAGACTTTGTATACTTTGGGTATTTTTTTTACTAATAGGTTTCTTCGGACCTTCTACTATATATAAGAAATAAATATATAAACATTAATGATAAATCTGAACAAGTCTATAAAAAAATACCTCTGAAAAATTTTCAACTTTTCTAAAAAAACTCAGTATGTATTCGAAACGTTTGGCTTGTTTCTCATATCGAGGGAGTCAGATTGTACTACCGTATTAAAAATAAGGTCTACGTAGTAAGTTGAAAAGATGAGAGATATAACGTGGCTGAAATCTGCCGTAATGAAAACAACCATAAGATTACACATACAATTTGATAGCTATGTTCAACAAAAAGGTTTTTATCGCTAATTCAATTTCTGAGATTGAAATTAAATAAACGTCTGAAAATCCACAACCATGATATATAGATAGATATTTTATTTTCCTCTGAATGTTATTTTTACAACACGAATATACATTATGGAAAACATTGTAGAACAATTATGCAAAAAACCGCCGATTGCCGAAGAACTTGATATGAGATAGATAGATTTATTCATCATTAAAGCTTCATACACAGGTAGTATAAAACATATCAGATAACACAACAAATGATCAGATATGAAATTCTCTAAATTTATGTAAAAATGTACATGTCATGTGTGAATTACATTCATTTGCAATCTAAAATGATCATCAGATATTAATTAACACATGATAAAGGATTTTTTTAAATTTTTTTTTATTCACTTGAAAATATCCCACAATTCAAATAATCGTATTTTAAATAAATTATGTGCTTTCACTATTTCACGATTTTGCTAAATCTGCCTATTTGGTGTTAATACGGTCATCATTTTGAGAGTATTATTGATCTCAAAATCTGATACTGTAATTATCAACCAACGTCATTAAAAATGAAGTTTTATATACAGTGGGTTAAAATCTATAACCACCTGTTGTTCCAAATTAGGAAATTGAGTTATTCAGGAGACCCCACAAAGATATTAGCTGCTCAATATATAGCATTTAAGAATTGTTCAACGTAATTTCTAGTAGTATGTTCGTTTCATGGCTGGGGAAACATATATTAGGTTTTTGTTTAATTTCAAATGTTTTTTCTGAATATGAGTTGAACTGTGATTTGATTATAATTGTTGAATTCACAGTATGTTACTAACAATTTGTGTCACGAAAAAAATCTTTAGCCACTGAAGTATATTTTGATAATCGATTGATTGAATATAAATATGAGCACATTGAGTGGCAAAGATCAGTTCGAAGACCAGTTCCGAGAGCGAAAAAGTGACGAGGTTAAAAGCAATAGGAACAAGTTAAACACTTTTAAAATGTATTTGAAGTAAGAGGCGTTAAATTTGATTTCAAAATATTGAATAAAGTTTTGAATTTAATCAACGGTAACATTTATTATTTTCAAAGAACCCACACGTAGATGTAAGAATATTCAGTCTGAAAGCCAACTTCTCTTGTTTGTTGTGTCGCTTGAGGTGTAATAACTGTTAACTTACAGCAACTCCCAGAACCGAGGCGCGTTATTACCACCTATTCAAATGCCTACTGCTCTTACTTTCAACAGGTAATTTTTTTATGTTTGCATGTTGCATGTATACTTAGCGATTTTAGGTGATTCTTTTAGGAAGCTTTGGGAACACAGTATCGGTTTATCTAATTTTTCATATCGATTAAACAAGGTGAGCATGTACTCTGATGGGGCCTTATTAGTTTTGAACTGTAGTTTGCTATATCTGCTGATAAAATTATTAGTTACTACATTTTCACTGAATTTTTATTTCATTATGAAGAACATCCTTGGAAAAAATCAATCTGATGAATCCAGTCATTGAAGATAACTTCCATATTCATTATTATTACTATTATTATTGTTGTGCTATCAGCAAACGAAACAAATGTACTTTTGGTGTTGATGCTTGATAGATCATTCATGTATAAAATGTAAGGAAAGAGATCAAGCACTGACTCCTTAGGACGATTCCTCAGTAAACATTTTTTACTGCATACGTTAAAGAAATGTTTGTTTTTCTAATTGAAAATGATAATACAAAATATGATGGAAATTTTCTGTTTGGCGAAAGGCGTCATATCAACATCATAAAAACTATAAATAATATGACCTCAAAACCATGTATTTTATATAATTGTTAACTTTTATCTTCAAATATTTCTTTATTTTTTGTTTGCAATAATACATAAATGAAACATTCTCTTTCTAACGTTTTGAATACATCAGTAAAAATATGCATTTTCATCAGCTTAATACGAAATATTCTAATGATAAAAAAAATAATTCCTAATCAACCCATTACAAACTTGATTGTTTACAACTATTTTGGTCTATCTACAGACGTCTTAAGAAAACCATCATATAATCGATTTTTTGCAAATGCAATGTTTACTGGGAAACTACCTGTGCTATGGAAGTTCCCGTATGTATTAGAAAGAAACTTCTATACATGATCATAACTTTTTGAAGAGTTTTTATAGATGTATTTTTTCCTCAATTTGAAAATTCTACTGTCTATTAATATAATGAATCAAATGTCTGATGACTTCTACGTAAAAATGTCGGGACCTTTCTTGACGAGAATTTGGTTATAAACAATAAAGATTGAAACTTTTTTTATGGTAGCTTTCAAAGTATAGAACCGTTTTGTTGATAATTTCATAATAAATAGAAATATTATTAAAGTGGTTCAAGAGATATTAAAAAATGGTCTCAAGGGTTGTTCTTCATCTTGAAGTTTTAGTGAAAATTTTCGGCCGACTGCTATTTTATCAGCAGGGACACTCTAATGGTCCTGAGCAATTACCATGCATTGCAGCTTTCATTAACCTTCATACTTGCTCTCAATACCTGAAAATAACCTAAAGAACCTGCTCTTTTTTTTTAGTTTGGCTTCCACCCCTTCACTAGACTGCGAAACAGAAAACGCCACCAACGAACGTCGTAATTCGTCCGGGACGCTTCTCTCCCCCGAAGTGGTGGAGACCGGCACCGAAACAGACGGCTTCTATCTGCTCAAGAAGGACTCCCAGAGGCGTACCACGCTCGCCAAAGTCCTCGTCAACGACGGCACGAAGATATGCGACCTTTGGATGCAGAAGGTACGCCATAAGTACTTGGGGGAGACGGTTCTCACCGAGAAGCACCTACTGAAGCTGATGGAGGGTTTGAAGGCGTACCTGACTGAGCAGTCGATGAGCGTAGTCGAGACGACGGTGAGGCAACTGAAGGAGGAGCTGGACTTTGATTCAGCTGCGATCAATCAGTTGCAGTTTGCCATTTACTTGTATCAGGTTAGTGATTTTGGTTGTTTTAACAAGTTTTTACTCAACACGACCTGTTAGTATGTTTTTCAGTTGATGTGCATTTTATTCTTTTTAGGTAAAACATTAACGTGCTGCTGTCTCAATGTTCTTTGATTGTAATAATTGTAACAATAATAACTCGACTGTCATTGAGGATAAATAACAAATAGTGAATAAATAAATAATGACTGATAGCGAAGCCTAGCTGATATAGATACAGATAATTTATTCATCAGATTAGTCAAAACCTATATTATTAAAACTCATATAAACATAGAACTTACAAGAGAATATGAAAAACTCACAGACAATCTTATATACATACAAAACTACTATTAGCATCAAACAGTGAGGTACTCCTTTATTGTATANGTTGAATTTATTTTGATTTTGAATAAGAATTGGTTTTTTGAAAAACGAACGTTTTCTGTGTCCCTTAATAATGATGTACTACTCTAAAAATATTAATATCTATAACGATAATATGTAACCATGTTTTTCAGGAATCTGTCAATGAAGTTTTGAGATTACACCCAATCAAGCCCCATTGGATGTTTGCCCTGGACAATCTGGTCCGTTCATGCATCCAAGCTGCCATAACTGTCCTGACTCCGGAACTAGGGGAGCACATTGCTAACCACAGCTCTCCGAGCACCGTTAATTCCTCCAAGTCAAGCAAAACGAATGAAGTGTTTGATGTTCGTGATCAGACACTGCACCTGAGGACAGAGAATAACAGACTGTGGCACGATTTAATCGACTGTCAAAAGCAATATCAGGCAGTTGTAAGTATTTTTATTTGTATTGAAAGTGGCGAATTTTTCTTCAATACCAAATTTGAGTTTACTTTTGGAACTTATCGACTGTGTCAATCATACAAAGCTACTATATAAACTGCATTCTTACGGATTGAGGGGTGTTTCTCTAGATGGGATAGCATCATTTTTGAAAAATTGTGTGCAGTATGTGAGCATAAAGTATAAAAATCATAATAAAGTAGAAAATCTATCATCTTCAAACTCAGAAGTCAATGTAGGTGTCCCGCAAGGCTCTATTTTAGGCCCTTTACTATTTCTTCTGTACATTAATGAAATCGGTACAATATTTCCTAGGATACAATTTACATTATTTGCTGATGATATTATATCAATGATATGTATATCATTGATTATTTCTAACAAATCTAACAATATCTTACAAAATGAATGCGAATCTATATTAGAGTCTTTTATGAAGTGGTTTTGGTCAAATAAATTATCATTCAATCCAGACAAAACAACTATCGTAAAATTTCAGACAGCCCAACAACACAGTGAGGACTTCAAAATTAAACTATGTAGTCGAAAAATTGTAACCATTGATACTGTGAAATTCCTTGGTATTGAACTAGACAAAAATCTTAAGTTCGAAACACATTGGGAATCATTAATATCTAACCTTAATTCAATCTATTACTTGATCTATAATTTGAAGACTATTCTAACTCATGAATAGTTGATGAACTTCTACCAGGCACAGGTGGAATCTCGTTTGAGATATGGGTTTCATTTCTGGGGCAACTCCATACATTCTAGGAATACATTTATTGCACAAAAAAGAATCGTACGGTGCTTAGAAGGAAAATCAAGACAACACACTTGCAGAGATCTTTTCAAAAAACTGAACATTTTAACTCTGAGAGAGATATGAGATATGTTTATTTGTCTATATAAATAGGAAAGGAATCCCAAAGAATTATAACACACATAACGTCAATACAAGACAAAAGAACCACTTGCGTATACCTTTTGCCAGATTGAATATTACCAGTTCCTCGCCAAACCGTATTAGGCCACGCTTATTTAACAAATAAGACAGTAAGACATTGTACTTGGGAAATAGAATTTAAGAAAGAAATCAAAATATTTTTATTGGACAAAGTTTTTTATACTGTGACCGAATTTTTGTGTATGTAATTTTTAACCCTTTCAAATCTAATTTATTCAAGTTCTTGTAATCCTGCATTAAATAATATCCAAACAGCTTAAACATCTACACTAAGGAGTATTACCAAAATGCGTCACCCTCAGAACATACTACACAATCCCTCAAACTCACTGCTTTATAGAACTACAAAAGTGAAACCTATAAAGGAGAGACTATCAGACCTAAGAAACCCCTTTGCCAAAAATGAAACTAACTTGGCGACCCTACAGGCATTACGTAGGGAAAGAGCTGAAGGACAACCATCCAAATTCAAATACCCAGAAAAAACTATTTTGGAAAACATCAAATCAATCTCATAATTTATAACTTATTTTTTTTTCGTCAGAAATATAATGTACCTCAAATGTATTATGTAAGCATATGTAAAAATTACTGCAAATATTTAAAAATTTTACTCTGGCTGAGGAACTTCGGTCGATGGCCCTTTGGTATTCACCAATAAGTGACATTTATTTTTATTATCATTATTTTTCCATTTCATTTGAGATGTATTTCTAACAACTATTATTATTATTTCAGTTGAAACAGCTGATCGACGGTCACCGTCAGCAAACGGAAACCCTGGCGCAGCTCTGCGGAAACTACCACCAGCATCCCAACCGCCATCAAGAGGAGGTCGTCGAAGAAGACGACCGGCTCTCGAAGTGGCTCGAGGGGCTTGATATTCACGAATCAGCTACGAAGATATTCCTCGCCGAGGGGTACACGCTTGAAGAAGTGCTCTACTACATCGATAGGGACGACTTGCGGAGGGTCGGCCTGAAGGGGGGCACGCAGTTCCGAATATGGCGCGCCATACAACAGCACAGGCTGGGTGGAAACAACGACGCAACCGTTTGTAATGGTGTTACGATGGACGAGAGCGAAACGGTTTGAGATTTGGAAGATAGTAGGGAAACGATGAGATTAGTTCCTAAATGTGGGAGGGTGATATAGAGAGTGGGAGGACAGGAATTGCGGTTGGATGATTTGGTTTATATTCGCTGAGATTCTGTTGAGAGTTTATGGATTGTGGCAGTAATGAGTTTGAATCAAACGTTTAGAGTTATGAATGAGGGTTAGTTGATCTGTTATGTATTGTAGAGGAAATCAGTTTCCTGGTTATTTTTACTTTCTACAACAATTTAATCAATTTTTTTTAGATTGTGGAAAACGAAAGTTTTCAAAGGTTATTTACAAGCAGTCCTCCAAATTAAATATTAGATCAAAATGAAATCGTATTCCCACATTCTGAATGACAAAGCCTAGCCAGCCGTATAATGATTGATATAAATCACTGAAGATACAACATAAAAACACACTTTTGTCTATTTTCCACAATAGTTGTATATTTGTTGACTAGTTTTGGTCATTACACCATTTTCAAAACAAACTAGTCAACGAATATAGAACTATCGTGGAAAATAGATAAAAAAAGTGTGTTTTTATAGTGTATCCTCAGTGAACATAAATTTCCACAAAATAAACAAGTCGTCAATCAGAAAAGTGATATAAATCATTCATAGTTTTTCAGAATGTTGCGAATATTGAAAGTTTATCTTCCAGTTGAAATATTTATTACATTTTGGTCCAATAGAGAGATTCGCACATGACTATGATGGGCATCTTCAGCAGAGGTTGGCAACAATTTTTGGCGACCTCCTTGTTGGTAGACTCGTTAATGAATCTACCACTGCCGTGAAAGTTCAAAACTATAGTTCAATATCTTGATCATTTTTTGGGCTGGGATGGAAATCAGTGAATTGAATGCAACTTTTGTGTTTGAAGTAACTGTGAAGTTTGTGTTCAGAACCCCTGAACGCAACTCTTGTGTTCGGGATCATCGAACGCAACTTTTGTAAGCCATTGAATTCGACTTCTGTGCCCGTTGTCTCTGAATGCAATTTACGTTCGGAGCTACTGAATGCAACTTTTGCGTTCAGAGACCATTGATGTAGTTTTGTGTTCAGATTCTCTGAACGCAACTTTTCGATCAGGTCTTTGAATGCAACTCAAAACACAAAGGTTGCAAATTTAACAAAGTTTCAAGTTCAATTTCTGATTCGAAACTTGAACTTCTATGAAATCCCTGCTTCAAACTCTGATTTTTTTAATATCTTATTTCAAACACAAAATTGTAGTGAACTTCTTGTTTTAATACAAAATTTTAGTAAATTTTTAATTTGAACACTGAATTTCAACAAATTTTGATTTTGGAATGAAAATTTTGTAAATCCTCAATTTTGAACTTGGAACTGTAATATATTCCTACATTTTTACTACTGACAGACTTTTATGAAATGTTTATGAATATATAAATCTGGATTCGGTTCATTCATCTGCATCACGGGAGGAATAAAAGCGTAAATACATTTCAAAAACGCTGAAAGAAAAATAAATATAACATGATTCAGTGAATGAAAGTCTGGCAAAATTTTCTATCGAAAAAATGACCCACAAAAACAACACCATAATGAAAAAAAACAGTCATTTTGTTGCTTGTTGAAATTATCAATGAACAAAATCGATCTCGGCTTTGTCGTGAAATTTTTGAAAAATCCAGGTTTGTCCAGACGTGCCTAGCAAAAATATGGTATTTCTCAATAAGATAATCAACCACTATTCAATAATATAATTAAATGTATGCCTAACTTTCTCTCATTTATATGATATAAGGGCATTTGATCATTGTAGCTATTGTCTTTTTTTTCCATTTTTGTCTCGTTCTACTTCTTTGTTTCCGTTGAAATATCAAGTATCTCTCCTAATTCATATTTCTGCCGCAACTCATCTGAAGTCTTCGGATGCTGATATAGAAAAAGAAAGCAGTAGTCAAATTATTATTTCAAAGAAACGGTTGAAAAATTACTTTTTCAATTCTGATATGAAATGAAATATTTTGAGTATCTCTCTAAGAAAGTTATGAAGTAACCAGTGACTACATATATTTTTTTGTTACGTTACATCTAACTTTGAAAAAAAAATCTGAAAATTTATTGTCAGATTTATTTCTTCTTAAACTATTGATAAATGAACTGGGTGTTTGAATTCAGGCAAATTTATCTTGTTTCATCATTTATGTAACTTGTAAATAGATCATAACAAGTTCTTGAACTCCCAGGATTCATATTACTTGAAAACCAATATTTTCAAAACTCAAAAAATATCATCTGATATCATGATTATCATCTGATTCTATTAGTGTATACTGTAGACAACATATTTATCCTTTTTTGTTTACCATCTAAATTCTAAATGTTAGTTTTTCCCACCATAATGTTTTGAATGGGGAAACAATATTAGAAGAAATCAAAAATCAAGATTTTCTGAAAGGTTTTCAAATGAATCGAATTTTTCTTGCAGCTCAAACGGCAGTTGCAACTTTTTGCTAATGAACAAAATTAAAATACTAATAATTTAAGGAATGTCATAGGCCAAAAGTCTTCATGATCCCAACTTGCAAAAATTAAATAAAAAATATAACCTTTTCAAATTAAAAACAGACAAAATGAGGTTGTTTTTCCATCTCCAAATTAAAAAAAATGCCAGGCTCTTAAACACTGTTGACAAAAGAAATGTATTGATCCTTGATATCGATGCTAGATTTATTCAAGATGTTGACGAGATCGACCGCAGTTCCAAGGTCCCTCCATTAATGTCGCCTCCTATTTTGGAACAAAAAACTTCAATGAAATGTATAGTTCCTTTCCTACAAAACTCTCAGACCGTCGTTTGACTGTGATTAATTTTTCGTATGTTTTATCGAAAATTTTTATTTTGAAACTTCGTGCAATGACTATTAGTTTAAAGATTAATTTGATTAGATATTGTTTTGCTCGTTTTATTAGAGTCTTCCTATTTTTGTGAGGCGCGCACCAAAAGAACTGACCGGGAGAGAGGATTATTTTTTTTAATAGATCGTTTTATTTTGCGAATGATTGATTTTAGAAGTATGTTTTAAGTTTTTAATCTAGTAATTTGTATTTTGACGACATCACTTTCATTGATTACTTTCTTTTTATTAAATTTTTTTGGTTACGTTTCTCCTAATCAAGAAGGCATTGACCATACCATTTCTTTTAATTAATCATCAATTTTCAATCTGTTTTGTTTCTAATTGAGTTTTATAGTTGTTATAACAAATGTATTTTATTTATGCATTATATTTTTGACTAATAAATAATGTTGGCATTCATTCAAAGTTGTTTTATTGTATCAGGAGATGCATGATATCTGAGTGCAAAAAGAATTGTTTTTTTTTCTGAAAGCAAATACTTGAGAATAGGTAGCAGCTCTGTTATCATGGTATCTGTAGTTTTTAATTACACCGGAATACAACGTTTTTTCCAGAGCCACTAAATACATATTTTCTACTTCAACTCCTGGAGACTGGTTGGGGAAAGTCGCGTCAAGAAGAGTGTTGCAGTTCTGCTGTTTGGAAGCGGTGATTGTTCTGAATCTCTGTATGCACCTTTAATGTCCAGAACCACTGAATGAAGTTGATTATGTAAGAAATTCATTCTCACACCCGAAATTTCAGCTCGTGAGAATTCAAGTTTTCATTTGTTACTACCAAAAACTAACAACTCGTGCACATAGAGTAAGTTTATATGATTTAATATTCATTGCCACTGAAAATTAATGGCAAAGGACTTGATTTGCACATCAAGATTGGTTGCATGAATCCAGACTCATTGTTGTGAGTAATTAAAAAAAAAAAGATTCCTACTGAATTTAAGGAACTCCGTATGATATCTGAGATACTGAAAGTTTATGATGTAGGAAATGGAAGTGATTCATTTTTACATTTTATTCAATTCCATTTTCAAAGAACTCTGCATAGTAAGCGAAATAATTGAATATGTTAGGAATTGATGATTCGTTTTCACACTCTAGTACGCTTCGGCACACATTTTATTTCTGTCCATTCTCCTAAGTAGCTTTCAGAAAAGATTCCTACCAAATGTTATCAACTAACTCTGTGTAATGACTGGGATACATGAAGCTGAATGTTTAAGAATATGAAATACTCGTACTTTCTCCCTAGTATACTTCCTGTTTCTGTTAAAATATGTTTTTTCGCTTACTAACTGTGCTCCCACTCCTCCCCAAAAACGACAATCCTCAAAAGCCAAAATTTGGCGAGCCAAGGATTAACAGAGTTATCTTTTGACGACATATTTGTTTGGAGCCTCCAAATCCAACTTTTGAGTGTGGTTTCATCGAATGCAACTTTTTTCGAAGCCTCTGAATGCAACTTTTGGGCCAGGAGATATTGTATGCCACTTTTGTGTTTGCAGCTATTGAATGCAACTCAAGTGTTTAGAGCCATTGAATGCAATTTAGGGGTATGTGTTATATATACTTACTGACTTCTTCAAAGATTACATATATATGAGAGATAATGTATAGAAGAGTATCGAACCAGTAACTGGATACATGTTTTCAAACGCACCCTGTTGAAAGAAGAACAACAATTATATCATTATATACGTCTTTCCTATTCATGGCCTCATTCATGTTTGGGGTCATTAAATGCAACCTTTGTATTCAGCTTCAGAACCTCTAATAGGATCTATGAAACTACGAAAGTTTTATTCGGTGGCTTCAAACCCAAAAGTTGTATTGTAAAATTGATGACTTCCTATATCAACTTAACGAATTGCTAAACAAAGAGAATAAGAACCCACATTACAGTTTATTCGTTGGTGATATAAACATTGATCTATTGAAGGAAACTGAAGACTCGAAAACATATCTCGACATTATGAGTGAATATGGGTTTCACTCAACCATAAACACCACTACCAGAGCAAGGAATGGATCGGAATCATGTCTAGATCATATATTTATTAAAACGAAACAGCAAAACTTCAACAATCTATTGNTGATATCTGAGATACTGAAAGTTTATGATGTAGGAAATGGAAGTGATTCATTTTTACATTTTATTCAATTCCATTTTCAAAGAACTCTGCATAGTAAGCGAAATAATTGAATATGTTAGGAATTGATGATTCGTTTTCACACTCTAGTACGCTTCGGCACACATTTTATTTCTGTCCATTCTCCTAAGTAGCTTTCAGAAAAGATTCCTACCAAATGTTATCAACTAACTCTGTGTAATAACTGGGATACATGAAGCTGAATGTTTAAGAATATGAAATACTCGTACTTTCTCCCTAGTATACTTCCTGTTTCTGTTAAAATATGTTTTTTCGCTTACTAACTGTGCTCCCACTCCTCCCCAAAAACGACAATCCTCAAAAGCCAAAATTTGGCGAGCCAAGGATTAACAGAGTTATCTTTTGACGACATATTTGTTTGGAGCCTCCAAATCCAACTTTTGAGTGTGGTTTCATCGAATGCAACTTTTTTCGAAGCCTCTGAATGCAACTTTTGGGTCAGGAGATATTGTATGCCACTTTTGTGTTTGCAGCTATTGAATGCAACTCAAGTGTTTAGAGCTATTGAATGCAATTTAGGGGTATGTGTTGTATATACTTACTGACTTCTTCAAAGATTACATATATATGAGAGATAATGTATAGGAGAGTATCGAACCAGTAACTGGATACATGTTTTCAAACGCACCCTGTTGAAAGAAGAACAACAACAATTATATCATTATATACGTCTTTCGTCATGTTTCTCATTCATGTTTGGGGTCATTGAATGCAACCTTTGTATTCAGCTTCAGAACCTCTAATAGGATCTATGAAACTACGAAAGTTTTATTCGGTGGCTTCAAACCCAAAAGTTGTATTCATAGACTCCGAACAATACAAGTAAAATTCAATGGCAACGAACACAAATGTTGCATTTAGAGGATTCGAATATGAAAATTCCTTTGAATGGCTCCAAATAGAAAAATTATATTCAGTGACATTGAACGTGAAAACTGCAACTATCTGTGCACACAAAAGTTGCATTCAATGACTCAAAACACTAAAGTTGAGTGACATAAATTGCATTTGATGACTTCGAAAACAAAAGTGACATTCAGTGGTTTTTGACAAAGTTCTGGGGTTCCGAAAAAAAAATCTTCGGCAATATTTATATTCAGTGGCTCTGAATAGATTTGCTTGCTTTCATGCGTTCCGAATAAAAAAAATCGTAACTGGCCGTTTCGGATAAATTTATATTCACTGACAACACTCCCAACAAAAAAGCTTCATTCGATGGCTTATGACTGTATTGATTTCGTCAGCTCCGAACGCCAATATTGTATTCAGTGATTGCGAACACAAAAAGTTGCATTCTGAGGTGTCGAATCAGGTCCCATGTATCATCTTTTTTATATTTCATGAAATAAATGAAAGACAGTTTAGTGAATTTATTAATTATTAAAATAATTTATGCAAAATTCCAAATGTTATAACCAAGAAATAATCAATTTTCACCCATTTTCACTTTCCCAAAATAATCTTCCTGGAGGCTCCGAAGTTTTGACCTGCCTGGGTAGCTCCCCTGTTTTGCCCAGCCTGAAGACCGATGATAGCTTCCCCGGCTCGCAGCTGTTGTTCGGAGAATTCTCGTCTGTTTTCTTCGGAAGGTTTTGGCCCCAAGGTTGGTCCTCTCCATTCTGGGTGTTTGTGGGCTGTCCTGCCGATGGCAAAGATTGTAGTGGTCACCAAGGCGATGTTTTTCTTGTCCCAGAGATCCGTCGTTTGGAACAGATCGACGTCTGGAACGCCATATTTCGTACAAGCTTGTTGGAATCTGGAAAAAAGTGTTTTGAGTCCATATGGTTTTTCAAATTTCTGAAGCAGAAACAATGAAAAAATAACAATCACTATAGATCAGTTCGAAATGTATGTAGATAGATGATCTCAACACGTATGTGACATGTTCTGATGAAATAACCATGTTTCTAAGAAAGGAAGATAAATGAACAGAGGGTATCAAAATATAATACATTTTTTCATCGACTTTTTTGGGTATTTTTGACACAATCTGAAAAATATAAAAATTATAATGGAGAACTTTATATAAGTGTAGAAAGGGCAAACTTTTTAGTTCACCCCGATGAGTTACTGTTCACAAAGAAAAATNTTATCAGTAACTTGTTGTATTCAACAATTTTTTTCGATAAAAAAATGCTAAGAAATAATACAAACCTTATCATTACGTTTCGGTGGCCAAAATCTGCCTCCGTCTTCAAAAATGGACAAAAAATTCAAAAGATATTTGCAGTTATTCCTTTTAATTATTCATTTCTCAACTTCTTCGTCAGATGTCAAAACTCCTTTGACATCTGTCGAAGAAAAATCATATTCATTCAATACTAGTTGCGCCATCTGTGTGGTAGCCTACGAACTTTTCAATCCATCTCGTATAAATACAAATAAAGTGTCAATTCGATGATAATCACGAAAATGAAGCTAAACCTCGGGTAGCTTTATATGTAATAAAGGCACCTACCGATCGAAAGTTTATAATTTCCTTCTCATCCACTTTATTATCAATTTTTTTTCTTGACATTGACAAGTTACATTTACAGAAGTTTTATAGTCATGAGACAATCCGTAAAAAGTTATACTGTTATTGAAAACAAAACTAAATGCAACAAAATACTGTTTCTGAAGTAATTTCCCATTCAGCCAAACTATTGTATTTGCCCCTCATCACCCATAATTTCCCCTCTCAGTACAAGATATAGCACCCTTGTCCCTCCAATTGATCCGCCCATGGAATACATTACAGCTTGCTTCACAACAAACAGTTCTTAGTGAACTCCTCGCGTTTCTGAAAACTTGTTCCATCATTTGCTGAATGCACTATTTGATGATACCCAAATGATCCAATTTTCTTTGTTGCCATTAATAAATAAATCATAATAAAAAAGTCAAATTACATAAATTAAAAAATTGTATAAGTATCCTCATAGTTGTAACTGGTGTAAATTAATCAAGAAGAAAGCAAAAGCTACTTAGTTGCAGACATTTTGTAAGACTGGGACGATATTTTAGCTTGTTTTTCTTGCCACTTTTAAATATTACTCAACATGGACGGACCTTTCTCATATTCATTCAACTTCTTTGCCAGCTATAGTTTTGGTTACCTTCTGTTGTTTCTGCTACCCTGTCACTACAATTTCATACCGGATGATTTATGTAGAGCAACTAAACGTAATTTCAAGGAAACAAATAAATTTCAGTAAATTCGGAACACCTTTTTCCGAATTTGAAGTGTTTGTTTGATCATGTGTGTATTAGATTCATTGGAGAGTTGAAATCATCAAGGACAATACTAACGCTTCCTCGTAATAACAGGAGCGCATGAGAAAGCAGAGATGTCGCTTAGTAGGTACTGTTAAGTAGGTTAGTTCAGAGTGGTACATTATTTCGATTCTCATTTCTGTAGAGATGCGTTATTGAGTTAATAATGTAGTTCAATGAATGATTGTATTACATTGTTCAATGTGATACGAAAAATATAAATGACAATTCAATTTTATTATACAGGGTGTAACTAAAAAAGTGTAAAACATTCAAGGAGGTGATTCCTCATCGAAAAAAAGATAGGATCTTTCATATAAAGAAATTTCAATGAAACATCCCTTGTTAAGATACAGCCCTTTTAAGGGGGTACATTGTATAACAATTTTTTTCACAAGCACTAAAAAAGTTACAATTTTGAAAGTAACCTGACGTTTTGTACTACCAAAAAGACACCTAGCCAGAAATTTATTTGGTTTACCCGATGGTTGTAAAGGGTGGAAAACGCAAACCCTAAAATTTATTTCCAATGTAACTTTTTATCTTATTATTTGTTTATCATTTAAAAATGTATTTCCGATAGCCTGTTTCATTCNAATTTCAATATTGTAACTTTTTCAGTGCTTGTGAAAAAAATTTTTATACAAAGGATGATCCAATGAAGTTTCTTTATATGAAAGATCCTATCTTTTTTTCGATGAGGAATCACCTCCTTAAATGTTTTACACTTATTCAGTTACACCCTACATATTATACTCTAGTAATAAAAAAATGAAGTTACACCAATAGATCCAGTGGCGTACTTATGATCTTAGGGAATTTTTAAACTTTTCATACAGATAAAGTAAAAAAAAATATCTCATGGAGAGATCATAAACTCGAATAAATATGAAACCAACAAATTCTTAAATATTGTAATCAGAAAATAATTATAAAATACACCAGACAGCGGTATGAAAATAAAAAACATTAATTTGGAAGAAAATAAAAGAGGATGAAGGTTCAAAATTACTTCATCGAAAACATTCTTAAAACCAAACATATGGATTTTCCAAATATAAGGGGTGAACAACCAACTTTGCATAAAAGAAGTACCTAAGTTTGATAATGATTACTCATAACCGCATATTTTTGACTTCAGAATGGTGACCTGCTCACCATTTTACGTAACTACAAACTAGCAGTTTTTCGAAATCTTTTGCCGGCAACATTAGGAATATTTACCAAAACAACATTTTTTAACCTGATATGAGCCGGAAGTAGTAGGTAAACACCTAGGCTGGAAAGTCCCGGGCGTAATCAAGGCAACATGTTTTTTGTTCAAAATTGGCTTCAATCATCAACGTAATCTCTCCTACCGGTGAGCATTTTTTGAGGTCTGTCAACAGCCAGTAGTCGCTGGCGAATATGGTATATGCAGTACCAATTCGAATTTCAGCAGCTTTCTTCTGAAGTCTATAGTCGAAACTAAAACTGCTCCCCCAATATCTAGACTGAGGATAGTTCTAGGGCATAAGAATCATGCATCAAGAGGAAGACGTAAAATGTGTACTTACTGGTTGAGATTATCCATCATTTTATAGTCGCCCCCGCTGGTGTTCACCTTCGAGATGATTCCAGGTGATAATCTATTCATCAGTTGGCACAAAACGATGCCGTCTCTCAGGACGTCTTCATAAGCAACTCCAGCAGGAAATGGACGTCCGGTGACTGCTTCGATCCAAGCTTGAGCTTCCTTCTCTTGCTCCGCGTCGCGTTTACCGGAACACTGAAAAAATAACGGAGTTAAGTTCAACTGATTTCGAGATTCACGAGGGAAGTTTTTCAACTTTCCATGACAGTGTGAAGTCTCTGGGAAGGACACAGTACGGAGGACTAGGTCCGAATACATTTACATCAGATGAATTAATTCACAATCAAAGTTAGATAGATCGAGGTTAGATATATCTTGTTCTCAAACACTTTGTTATTAATTATTTATACACAATATAGTCCTTAATGAGACTCGATGATAAATCAAACTTTTTTCTTGTAGATGAGATAAGAAAACTAGAAGATAAATACAGAAAACAGTAAAAATTCAATTTTCAATATTGGAAGTGGTTTGCAAGGTTCGTTTTGTTCTGCCTTTCATATATATTCAACAGCTCTTTTCTGCAATACAAAATACTGAATTAATGAGTTTTCAGCGTATATCCGTAGCAGCCTCATGAAAAGCAGGCTACCAAACGCGGACTGCAATTCCAAGAATTGCATTTACCGGATACCCTGCGAGTGCGGAGAATCAAACATCGGTGAAACTAAGTCCAACAACGCATTAAGATAAGGCTAGCGTAGAGATACGCAACAAATGGAAACCTCTATTCAAACGGAACACGACTAACTCCCGCCAAACGGTCAGCTCCCGCTAAAACTGATGAAGCGGTGAGAAGGAAGAGGGGATATATGAAAGCACTCGAACGACCTATACTAGTCAGATTTCGGAGGAATAAGTCCAGTTAACACCCGAAGATGATTGTGGATACTAACAATCGAAACGTCGTGAAGCAACTTAGCTTGAAATCTTTCAACTTTTAATTTTGATTTCTTGTTAATAGTTTTTTCATTTTCATTTCGTGTTATTAGTTCAATTTCAGTTTTTTGCTTAATATAATTGTTATTTTTCAGTTAATCTCTTTTCAAATCAATTTTATATCATTTTAGACAATGGAATACTGAACTAATGAAATGCCACAACATTGTGTTGTCATCAGCAAGGAGAGTGAAGAAACCGGAGATTCTGAGTGTGGTCAGTTAGGGGGCTAAAACTGAAGCTTGAGGTACTCCTGTTTTTATGTTCAATGTCGTTGCCGCAAAATGAGTTTCTACGAATTGTTTCCGATTTAAAAGTTATGACTCGACCTAGGCCAGACAATTATTATTACTTCCATAATGACGTATTCAAAAAATACACTTCATTGTTAGAATTTTACTTGAACGTTCACAAAACCACGACACATGTTTCGCTGTATGACAGAATCTTCAGGCATCTTCTGTGTAACTTCGCTAATATTAATGTCATATAACTCAATTAGTAGAATCCCCGAAGATGCTATTGTATGGCGAAACACGTATCGAGGAGAATATTTCACATCAAAGTATGTTTTTTGAATACGTTTCAATTGATTTTTATCAAGTATCGGTCATAATTCCATAATGGTCTAGCATCCGTGGCGGTGCTACGATCTTCACAGTCAAATGTTTTTGTTAGCAAAAATTCAATTACAGTTTGTTTTAAAAATGAAAATATGGCACCAATGGTACTTTTCTCTTCTTGAAATCCAAACTGTTGGCAGAATTAATGATTTTATTAGATTATGGTTGAGTTTGCATTCAGCCTTGATTTATCCATCACTTTCATTAAAGATGGAATTGACGATATTGGTCTCAGGTTAGATAAGTCATCTATATACCCATACATGTAGCGGTATGACCACTACACCTTTTGCAGGCCAACACCAAGCACATTTTGTATCGTGATTGGAGCCTGCATCAGTTCAAAATTCAACTGACACAGGAACTGAAGGTGAGCGACCATAGACGACCATAGACAATGACGTGTGTTCGTTGAATAGGCTCTAAATGAATAGGTACATGAACAAAAATGTCAAATTCGGACGATACCAATCCACATGAGATCCAAGACAGTCCAATGCATTCCGAAAAAGTTACTGTTTGATGTGGTTTTTGAGCGGGCGGCATCATAGGTCCTTATTTCTTTGAGAACGATGTTGGCCTGCTAACAACGAGCACTATAGGACGATGATTAACAACTTTTTTTGGGCTGAATTGGATCTCACGTGGAGGTGACGTGAACTGGCCACCGAGATCGTGTGATTTGACCCTGTTAGACTTTTTCTAGAGGGGTTTTCTCAAGTCGCAGGTATAAGCAAATAAGCCACAACCACAGCGGTCCAGAGAAGCCGTGGCAGACATTTAAAGGATGATAGGATTTCGATGATAGGATGGGCTCAGTGAGAGATAGTGTAGCTTCGCTGATATAACGCTGCATACCTACGTTTCGAGTGAGCTATTGTATTGTAGCTACTGTAGTAACTTTCAGTAAATCTGGATCGAGGAGGCCATGATTTTTGGTAACTACTATTCATTTCTTTTTCATTTTTACTTACAGTATGTCAAAAATATTTTTGGTATTTTTGTACTGTCAGAAGTTATCACTATTTTTTGGGGAAGAAAGTTTTTGGCTTTCTACTCCATCTTGATACAAAAAAAAAACAAGGATGAGGGAATCTTCTATAATGTTATCCAATTTGGTACTGAAGAGCCTTGTGGCTAGTGTCTTAAGGCGAAACATCGGTGTATACCAGTGAGGGTGACAATGTTCCATGTAAGTGCAATTCATTACCATTCATTTAAAGTAGAATTCATGTGAATGATATCTGATTTTTATTCCACAACGAATGTTTGAAATACAAACTGAGTAGAGAAAAGTTGAAAATGTATTCTCTCAACTACCTTTTGTAGCATGCCTTATTTTTTGTCGTCTGCGAGATTGTGTTATTTCACTTATACTTGCTAAATCTTTCGTCAAAAACATACGTAAAACTACACAATTGCAAATGTCAAAATTGTCGAACCACATTTTTATGTGATGATAATGAAAATGAGTGGTTTCAGCCACCATTCAAATTCACTTGAACAACTATTTTCATTTATATTGAAGTTGAGAACTGAATATAAAAAAGTAACTCATGAAATAAACATTGGGAATCATATATACCTACTTAGTAAATCAGTTTATGGTCTGTGTTCTGAAAATAATAATGCTTTTTTGGAACAATCATGAAATACATATCAATTCAAAGAACCAATATTATAAAAAAAAGGAAAAAAGAAAAAAAAATCACATCAAAGGTGCTGCTTCGTTCCCTCCTGTTCTGAAATGAATGAAATTGTCTTCAAATTTTTTTGGAGGAGTCTAGAGCTTTTATAGTCTGAGGCAGAGATCTGCTTATTCATCTTCAGTATGCATCAATGTAGAGTAACTCCTGACGATGCCAACTTGGTAACACGCGCCTCAAGAATAATGTTACAATTCTGGTTGTAGGAGAAGTGTTTCTGATGGATTTACCTTTAGTTGTTGGCCGGAAAGGGAAATGTATTTTTATCCCAGACGCGTTTGAATTAAAAAAAAATAACAATACTGATTCATGGGATTTTTCAAAAACTATTTTGGTGCTTGCCTTTCTATCACCTTTATAGGATATTTGTTTCTTTAAGTATATGCAAACGAGATTTTCAAATGAAAAATGTTCAATTAATTTCTTTCTTGGCTCTACTTTTTCCCTATTTCGAAATGTGTTCTCTGAAATCCAGTATTTCTTTCTTGAGAAACATATTTCTTGCAATAATGAAAATGTTATCCAATGTAACAGTATCTTATGCATCGATACCATTTGAATCATTTTGTATAATACGTGAATTTGTAATGAAAATTCTGGAAATGTATCTGTACTACTACACTACATAATTCTTTTATTTATTATCAATAATTTCAAATGAATATAATTCAAATGTTGATTTAGGAAATCAATCGAAAAAAATTTAATTGATTTC